GACACAAGTTGGCTGACTGAAAGTAGCCGTTCGTATCATGAATTTCGTTGAGTTAGCCAGTGAATACAAAAACAGTCTATGTAACACATACGATAAGGACACCGTAATTTTCTTGACCTGTATTACCAACCTTCACTTGTTTACTTAAAATTAACCTTAACATACGATATCTCACAAATTTCTGCAATAATAATAATTTGCTTTATTCCAAAACAGTACTTGTGATACAGAATGGAATTCTCAGCATTTTTACTACAGTATTGCATCCAGTTAGTACATTATCAATGAATAGAATTCTACATAGACTAAGGAAATCTCAGTTCATTATGACAACAACATATTGACATGTCGGTAGCGAAGCCAAAGTTGAACAGTGTTTGAAGGTGTTAGAAAAGTAGGTGCTGTCATATTTACTGGCGTAAGCGAGAGAAAGAAACAAAGCAGCACATGACGGAAAATCAAAGAGAGAGAGAGAAAAAGAAAAGAAAGAAAGAAAATGTTGTACCCATAAATGATATGAGTTGGAAAGACGAGGTCCAGTTGTTCTACTGACTATTTAATGAATTATAGGTGTCACGCCTAATGCTTTCTTTATCGCACAGAACACGAGCTAAGTAGGGTATGGTTGAGTTTTTGCACTTGCTGGTGCGAGCATATAGTTTTCTATATAGGCTTCTGGTTTCGCCTGATGAGATGCAAGGGGAGAGTTGTGAGTGAAGAGGGTGGTGTGAGTTAGATAAAATGGACTTGGCCCAGTTTTCACATGAGCTCATACACCTGTCAACCACAATATTAGCAAGCTGGTTAAATGGCACGTTGCTTACCCTGCTGACAACCTTTAACGTCCTGCGTAATATGTTATAGTCTATACTCAGTAGCCCTGGAGAAACTAAGGAGGAACAATAGAGAATAATAGGTAGAATGCGAAAGTTAACGAGTTGTAGGAGAAAGGGATGGGTTATACCAGAATTTCTTAACTTCTTGATGTAGGAGGTAAGACGGAATATTTTCCTAGTAATCACCAAGATGAGACGACCAGGAGAGATCAGCAGATAGAATGACGCCTAGGTATTTAATTTCCGACTTGGTTTCTATTTCAGTGCGCAAGAAAACGCATTTTAATCGCTAGAGTCACTCAGTAGGTGGTCGGTGACTGGAGACCGGGAGAAGACGAGACGACTAGCCGAGTAGGCACTATGCCTTTCCATTGATTTATGAGGTTCCCCCTCGTTATTGGATACCACTGAATAAATGACGGCGCTCCGTGTGTTTGACTAGACTCCTCTGCTTCACTTGCCCACCATCATGCTTACGAAACACACCTTCATAAACAACCGCTATCTTCCCATTTGATACACCCCACTCCACATGAATGTCTTCTCAAACGAGATGATTTGGTTGGTAAACATTCACGCTTCTATCTTGATCTGAAAATGATGCTAGTGATAGAGACATGGCTGTCTCCTATTGTCTCCTGACAATGAGGTCGGCATAAGTGATGCGTGGGTGTTCAGGACGGACAGGGATGATAACGAAGGAGGCGTGGTTGTCATATACTTCAGCAAATAATTACAACTTACACAATGCAATGGATCCACGCACATAGGACTGCCAGACTCTACTCTGTATCATGTCATAATCGGATAAGTCAAGTGTCTATTGTGCGCCATCCAACAGCCACCTCCATCCAGCAACTCTTTTAACGCCACATCAATACCCTCGAACTAGGGGCGAGGAATGCTCAAGGCACTCTAAGGCGAAATCCAGTACGCAAAATCAGAGGGATTCGGATGGTTGAGAAGGTAGGAGACAAGAGTTGGTGGGCCTCAGTGGAAAGTCGTGAAAACTGGATTATTTGCTGATGTCTTCGTGGGGTTGAATGATGAGTGACGAGACGAGTGATGGTTCCCCGTAGTAAATCATTCCATGAAATACCACGAGTGACCAGAATCACTCAAACAGAGGTATCTTGTCATTCAGTCATTACTGGGCTTTCTCGAACCAGCCCACGGTGGATAGAGCATCAGATGCTGAAGATTCGAGTGCGCTTCAATTTCAGTTTTCTCCTAGGTCATCGTACGTGTGGCTATGGTCAATGCGGCATTCGTGGGAGGCTTTAAGCGGAGGTTGGATAATCACCTAGTGAGATAATAACTGCATCCGAATGGTTTATCCCCTAATACTCACATACCGCATTGTTAGTGGGTGCACTTCTCAACTCTCCTTGTTATTTCACAGTCGTTTCTCTGCGTTTATTCTGAATTAATAAATTCCATTAGCTATCCGTTTGTGCATTTTTTGTTGAAAGTCTACATAGCCTACACTGATTATATCTACTGTTGCTCCTATTATTTTTATATCAATTTCTCATCACCCTGGACGACCACAGGGGGGAAACGATCAACGAGCTTCCTGGCAGTAACATGGTCTCAACACATCGCATAATGCAAACTACACATAACCAATGCCCACACCATTCACCTTGGAGTCAACCAAAGCTACGCCAGTCGAGTGATGGGACAGACTAAGCACAAGTCTACCAAATATCAGGATATTTTGCTACCTAGCGAAGAAGTAGGGACAATGAAATCAAATTGGATTACACTAGCTCTTCAAAGAGATATTGGAAATTGGTAGCTTGTTTAGTCAGATCATCGGGCGCCGAATCACGTCGAACTGGTGTAGTGCGGTGACTACTGTTACTGTTGGCTTTGGTGTTACCATTACCACTACTACTGCTACTGCTACTGCTTGTGCTGCTCATACGTACTTGGCAGGATGTCGGGCAGGTTAGCTTGTGTGTCTTTCATTTGATTGTTGCGAGAATGTCTGTGTGAGAATGGGATTTGACGTTAACGACAATTGTGCGTGGTTCTGCATGCTGTCGAGTAATTGTCGACCCTGTCTACTCTTAATGGCTATTTGATGGGTTAAAGGACATTGTTTACAGTGAATGTCGTCTTGAAAATGAATGCATGTTGTCATTGATGCAAGGGGTGTGTGTTGCCTGATGTAGAGATGACGCGTGAGTGCCATACTGGGACTGTCGTCAGCAGATAACATGTGTGGTGTAATAGTGAGGATTATTATTATTGTTGTTGTTGTGTGTGTCTGTGTGTGAAAGAAAGAAGGTGGATATACTGGCGTCAACGGCAGGGAGTTATTTCCCAGTAATGTGAGGCTGTTAGAGACGATAGTTGGTGAAGTGAGCTTACTTCGCGGTAGATTTGCGTGTTGAGGTTGTTGCTGAGTGTAAATTATGTTGTATGCCTGATTGTTTATGACAGTCGTTGAAGCACTAAGTTATTCTGTTGTGTTTTGTAGAGGCTTTTACGGACCACCTCGTGGACGTGGAGGATATGATGGTCGTGGAGGTCCTCGCGGACCGGATGGACGTCGTGGGTGTGGGTGAGTCTGGATTTCTTATCATGACTTTCCACGATTGTGAGATTCCATGATATTGTGATGCATATTTTAGTTTGGGAATAGACGACGAGTTGGTGGAAAGCTGAGGTGCAGGATATCATTTTTGGCTAAGACATCACTCATATGACTTGGCACTGTGTTTCTAGAAGCATTAGAGGTGAGATAAGCTACCTAGTGAGTCATGACTATTGATGTCATCTGAGTTTCGGTGAAACAAGTTTGATGCAGTAGAGTGAAGCTTGACAGATAGGTGGAGTAGTTTGTTTCTACAGCGAAAAGTTGATGCATTAGATAAGAATAGGTGAAACTGAGGGCTAGCTAGTTGTAGTTGTTGTCACTTCGACACCTGACTTCATATTAATTTGTCTCACATTGAGTGATGTTTAACTGATGAGTTTTGATTTTCAATTTCAGCTTCGATGAACGAGAGTTGTACGGGTGAGTTGGCGTAACGAGTTTGTGTCTGTTGTGCTGTGATACGTGTTGTGTAGTCTGTCCTTATCGTGCATGTTACTTTGCGAAACATTTGTTCTCGTTTTGTTTTAGTCCGCCCCCGAGTTGTCAAGGTGGAAGAGGTCGTGGTGGACCACGAGGTGAAAGAGGATATGGGTAAGTTGGCAGGTTTTTCCCTCACGTAGTTTTTGGTCTGTTTTTGGAGTACGTTGGATGCGTATGATTCATTAGGAAGAAAGTGGACGATTGAGAGGGTATTGACTCGCTTGTGCTTGTGTAATGGTGGATATGTGCTGTGTTGTGTGCACCTGTCACTAGACGTGAGTGATTGCAATCCAGTGTGTTGTAGAAACCAATGTGGATTCTCCGGAAGTGGTTTTCTCTGCATAGAGATTGGAAGCTTTTCGGATCTAGTGTAGTGAAGTTTGTACCTAGTTAATAGTCTGATGTGGATGATTGGGTTTCCTGTTTGGTGAGAGATGTGTTACTTTATTGTGATTGTATGTTCATGGGATTACTCGGATTTCCGGAACGTGAAGCGCACGAATAATCGAAGGCTGCTTTAATGGGAAGCAATCGTGCCACTTAGTGAATCAGATTAGTGTGTATGTTGTATGGTATTGTGGTTGGACACCGTTCAGAAGAGCTTTAGTTGCGGCCTTTCTCGAGGAGGTGATTTTCGACAGTGTGAAGAAGCAGTTTTATATGATTTTGTCACCGTTTTCATTGTGTTGGAAGTTAAAAGTGTTGTTTCTCTTGCAGATCTTCACAACCTACTGAGTATCCATCATTTCAACGTAACCCGTCAACAGATCGGTAAGTGTATATATGTCTTTGTCTAACTGTTGTTTGTGTTGAACCGTGTACACACGATTGAGTGAGTGGCAGTCATCATTGGATTGAGTTTTGATATTTGAATACGAGTTAGCGTAGACGTGACTGACTATGAGTTGATCTTGTGATGTGAAGGTTTCACCTCTGACCGAATCTGTTAGGCAGGAATATATGAGAGTGTGATATTAACGTTGACAGTGTTTCTATTGTGAAAGCTACTAGATGAATTAAGAAATAGCCCTGTATATGTGTATTGTGTTTCATGCTTCAGGTCACGTGTTGGTGATGTTCCAGGGGTGTGGAAGAAGCCTGCATGGAGCGCGCATGTACCTTGTGAACGTGGTGACATAGCATCGTCATTACGACTGGAAAACGAGGCTACCTTGGAAGCTGCTCGCCAAAAGAAAAGCCAGTGTATGAAGAAAGCTGTGTGAGTAGTATCCGCCGTTTTGTCTTTCTAGATTCCACAAGATGTGTTTTGTGTTGCTGCTGCCTAACTGTCTAATTTTGTTTTGATTGTTTCAGGTGTGACGTGTCTTGTGAGCTTTCAAAGTAAGTTGAAATGGAATAAAGTGTAAGAGTAGTGATTGGCCTCATTGCTTCCTTTGATTGATAACGTTGGCGAATGAATTTCTTTACTTCAGACTAAGCATGCAGAGGCCAGTGGGAATTCCAAACAGACCAGATGAAGGTGGCACAGTCGGGAGAACAGTGAGAGTTACTTCAAATTGTTGGGACCTTGCTTTCCATCAGAAGACGGTATATTTGTACTTTGTTGAGGCGATCTCAGTATACCGCCTGGACTCAAAGGAGGGCAGTAAGACGGAGATAAGAATGCCACCGAGGGAGTTGCAATCTCTGACACAACAAGTAGCTAGCTCGTAAGTGCAGTTATGCTTTCATCTTGAAATACGTTGTTTACATATGTGTTAAAACTTTGTGTTGTATTTGTGTTATTGAGGTGAGTTGTTTGCTTGACTTGTTGTAGTGTGTGATTGCTATCATTATAATGTGCTTGTCAAGGAGAGATTGGTACAGGTTTGGGATGAGTTGTTGTTTCATGTCCTACGTGATTGACTGAATAATGACTTTCGCGAATATCAGATGCGTTTATGAAAAGATGGTAGAGTCGTTCGGTATGGCTTGAGTTGACACTAATCGTGTCTGTTGATGAGTCTGATGCTAATGAAATTTGCTTGTATGGTTTGCTTTTACAGCTTTCCAGATACGGTGGTATATGATGGAGGGCACGCAATATACTCTGAAGACCCGTTAACGGGTGTTACAACGGACCCTGTGGAGAAGGAGATGGAGATCGAAGACCCGCTTGGTCGTGATCGCCTTCTCCTAAAGTATCGTATTATGGAAGTACAGCGAGTGTCTACTTCTGATGTTGATCATTTTATAAAGAATCCGAAGGCGACTTCGATGAATATGCCCCAGGTGAGACGAGATTAGATTTGTTGTTTGACACTTGGTTGTAGGAGTCCATCAGGCTATTGGATTGTATTCTGAAAACAGTCTCTAGACAGTCGTTCGTTTCTGTTGGACGTTCAGCCCTGTTCGAGGCGAAACCGATTAGAGTTGTCGCGGATAAACTCTTCAGCATCCATAAAGGTTTTATTAGTAGTGTGCGACCTCAGTGGAAGGTCCGTGTAAACTTGGATATGGTAAGTGATGATATTGCTTGTTTTGACACACTATGACAGACGTGCAAGGCGTACTTTACGTCTGGGAATTTGGCGGACGTGATGTACGCAAAGTATGGCGATGGGATGTCTCGGTGCAGTGAAGAAATGGCCCGTGACTTGAGAAGAATCAGAGTGGAGAGTGAGAAGTTTTACAGGAGCGACAGTGGTATGCGTGTATATGTATATTTTACTCTGTTATACCTATACGTGACGCCTTCCAGGTAGGATGTATTCGCGACGGTTCACTGTGCACGGGATGTCGTCACTACCAGCTGATCGTCTAATGATTGAGGAGGTGAATGAGACGGTGGCAGAATATTTTAAGAGGCATCATCATATCACACTGAAGTATCCAGAGCTGCCTTGTGTGAAGGTAGGTGATTTGTGATTTGATTGATGATGATATTTTATTTTGTTAGGTTGATCAGAAGCGGGAGGTGTATATGCCTATGGAGTTGTTGAACATACTACCGTATCAAGCTCCTAATGCGAGTAAAGCGGATGTTGCTAGCGAAGTGATCCGGTGTTCGGCAGTTCGACCGCAGGAACGTTTCCAAGAGCTGCAAAACTTTGCTAACAATATGCTGAAGTAAGATGATGTTATTTCCGCGTTGTTGATGATGCACTACGACTGAGTACTGACGACGTGATGATGTTGCTTACTCATGATGCAAGAGGCGGAGAGAAGTTAAGGAGAAGGAGGAGGAGCATGTTGAATGAATGCTCGTTAGGTGATTTCCACTGTCAGCAGCTAACTTAGTTAGCTTTCTCAACACTGGAAACTGATTTCCATCTGCACACAGGGATACGTTGGAAACTAGGGATGAGAATGGAAGCATGATATTAGACGAGTTGTTTGGTTCGAGGTGTCTGATATCCGTTGTGTTAGCCGAAATTGTAAACGTGGAGAAACATGAGTTGAGTAGAATAGCCCTCGTTGAAATAAGATTAAGCCAGGGAGTTTTGTAGGTGCAGAAGCAGACAGCCGAGGCTTTGTCGTACGTCTAAAATTGTTAGGAAGGGGGAACATTTCATCGGTTATTTGTGTCAATCTCTAGGTAGTGATTACTCGTCACAGAACATGTAATTCGCCACACGGAGACATGAGAATTAGAGTCGTGTTTGTTAACCGTGTGATGCTAGTGAAGAGGTGTTGATTGTGGACTAAGTATGCCTAGATGGAGATAATAGTGTATGTAGGTGATGTTATTTGAGAGCCCGGTATTATATTTCACTTTAATGTCTTTATTGTTTGTGATAATGAGGGTTTCTGTTGACTGGCATGACAACACTTGTTTCATTTCTTTCATCCAGGTCACACCCACTGATCGAACAATTTGGTTTGGCGATCGAGCCGAGGCCAGTGGAAGTGAAGGCACGTGTTCTGCAGCCGCCAAGTGCTAAATTTGGTCGTTCCGGTGTGCAACCGCTAAAGGCAGGTAGCTGGATGTCACCTGACTTTCATGAGCCAGCTGGCAAGGGAGTGGAGCTGATGTGGGCCATACTTTGTGTTCCACCTAATCAGGTATGTTGTTCACTCGAGTTGTGTACGAAAGACGGTGGCGATGACGACGATGAGTGATTAGTGTAGTGTAGTGTAAGGAGGAAGATGTGTTCTGCCATCACTTGGGCATTGAATTCACATTCTAGATGCAGTGATTTGTGAATCAGAGTTAGCTTGACAATATGGAGGCGTGTTGTTTGATGACAGGCACGCCACTTCGTTGTTCACAGCACCGGGCATATCACTGCGTGATATCATCCGTGTTGATATGTCAGTGTTTAATGGTGTGTATAGAATGCTGGATTTCGACTTTCCTGTTAGTCAAATAGGTGAAGTATTTTCGAAAAACTGACTGTCCACTTGATTGTGATGCGTGTTGTTGAGAGGCAGATGTTGTTATTGTTGTTATTATTATTATTATTGTTATCAGCCAAGTGAAACGCTTGTACTAAGTGCCTATTTCGCCTACTATGTTTTCTTTGTAGCGGTCTCAGAGTCACATACAAAAGGTGATGTCAGAAATGCCTAGAGCAGGAAGTCGCTTTGGGGTTCGTCTAAGCCCTCGACCTATTGTGGCACAATGTCCTACAGGAGAACTTGGCAGAAAGTTTGAAGATTTCAGTAGACAAGGCTGTTCGTTTGTGCTTCTAATCTTGTACGACGAGCGGAACTACTCGGCAGTTAAACGCCTGAGTGACCTGCAAATGGGTATCCGTACACAGTGTGTACTTGGTCGTACTCTGGAGAAGGCGAACGTTTGCCGTAAGTGCTTGCTACTACTGTTTACGTGTGACGTTTGTTTTCTGTTTGTGTATTTCGACAAGCTTAACTTTAACTAATGGGATTAATTTGTGCTTTGTTCAGCGAACCTGTTACTGAAGCTGAATGGGAAATTGGGTGGTGTGAACTGGCAGATCCCCGACCTGATTAAGAACAGTGGTGAGTTGCTGATGGTGTTTGGGGCAGACGTGACCCATCCGGCGCCGACACAAACTCATGGTGAAATTCGGAAGTCGGTGGCTGCTGTTATTGGTAGTGTGTCACCAGATCTAATGAGGTACGCTGTGGTGATCCGCCAACAGGCGACGACAGAAAAGGGGAATAAGGGAGCGAGAGAAATAATCGACGACATGCGTGTTATTGTGAAGGAGTTGCTTGAGGTTAGTTTTCATTGTGGGCCAACTGTGAAGTGATTGATGTTGCTGGTTGGTGTTGTTGTTGTTGGAGCACGCTTCTGTTGTTGCTTGTTTATGTTGTTGTTTTGCAGGTATACTTGCGAAATACGAACGGTCGTTTCCCAACGCGTATCATATTCTATCGTGATGGCGTCTCGGAAGGCCAGTTCGAGAATGTGTTGGTAGAGGAGTTGGCGGCGATTCAGAGAGCTTGTGCAGACATTCGTCCTGGTGAAGAACCCGCGATCACGTATATTGTTGTGCAGAAGCGTCACCACATTCGGTTTCGACCGAGCGAGCCTAGGTAAGTAGGAGGTGTTTACACACATGATGTTTTGTGTGGAGCCACTGTATCTTTGTTGTTGTTGTTGTTGTCCTTGCTCACGTGTGTGAGGGCGTTCGTGTTAAGAATAACGATTTGTTGTTTCGATTGTTTTTGTAGGGCGAGAAACGTGGAGCCAGGGACGGTGGTTGATACAGACATCACACATCCCAGGGAATTCGATTTCTACTTGTGCTCACAAGAAGGGATTCAGGTAAATTGTTGTTGTTAGCCGATGAATATGATTGCGTATTTTGTAGGGCACTTCGAAACCTGCTCACTATCACGTTTTGTATGATGACAGTGACTGGACGTCGGACGGTTTGCAGTTGTTCACCTACCACCTATGCTATGCGTATATGAGGTGTTCGCGTAGTGTCTCGTATCCAGCGCCAACTTATTATTCTCACTTGGCTGCATTTCGTGCTCGTGAATGGTTATCGGACGTGGAGAAGCCAGAGATTCTGTTGGACGGTGGTCGTTTTAAAGTTCACAGCAGCCAAGTTGACGGGATGTTTTACTTGTGAGGAGATATTTTATTTTTATATAAATTGCACTTTATTTTGATCCTTGTTGTTTGGCTTTTCGATTTAATTGAGCGTAGTTTGTTGAAGAGATAGTTAATTGTTAGGGTGCGATCACGGTCACG